CTGCCGGAATCTCTCTAGAAATGCCGGAATTTGATCTCTGGATAGAACTTGAAAAGCCCATTCGATCAGTAAAATTCCATAGATAAGAGCGATTTAATTTACCGGTAAAAAATGATTTTGAAAAAATATTTTTATTTTTATTTTATTTTTGAGAAAATATCGCTTATGACCCTCCGCTCGTTATCTTTAATGGAGATTTTTGAGGGTATTCACCTACCTTGCGGCAATGACTCCGCTGAAGAACGTTAGTCCCTGAGCTGTCGCGCTGGGGCCATACGTTAGGGGTGGACTCACCACTAGCGTTCTCGTTTCTGCCCGCGTGTCTGAGCATACTGCTACCCGGGAGGTTGAATCGCTTCAACAAATCCTTCGTGTATCCAATAGATCATATGCTCTATTCTTTCTTTTAGGTAGGTCAAACGATAATACCTTGGTCTGACAACCCTGATGAAAGCATTGTCTCTTATGATAACAGGATGAAACTCCAAAAAATCCAATGCAATGCAAATGGTGGGTTAACTGCATGAGCCCTTCAGATGGATGAATCGGCGAGAAGCTACTAAAGCTTCATACTGGACTCTCTCGACTGTTCGGTCTTCCTTCCCACCAGTATTATTTCTGAGTTTTATAATCACTTCTTCGTTATTCTCCAAAGCCAACATTGAATAAGAAAGCATGCAGCGTTTTCAGTGTTGATAAGTCTTGGTTGGTTGGGATTACGCGCCACAGCATTCCACATCCACCCAGGACGTCAGTAGTGGCAATCTGGATCGCGACTTTGCGCCGTCTCTACACCTGGACTTTCGAGTGGCCCAGCGATATTATCCGTGCAGTTACGTATTTATATCGAAGGCCTGCCAAACAACCCCGCTCCGTGTCTTACTAATTTCCCTTGGTTCCTTCGCCCTCTTCCTTTCTTCCACTCTTCCCCTCATTTGCTGGCACCACCCTCCTCGTTTCCCCACGTCTTTACCCTCCCGTCTGCCCCCTTCCGGTACCAGGTCCACCAAGCTACCTCAAGAGATTAGCTTTATTGCGCCGTACGCGTCAGGACATGGTCCCGTACATCGTCTTTCGTAAGCCATACAAAATCCTGTGCTGTTGAGGCGTCATGGGGTGAGAAAAAACCACGATACACGGAGTTTGAGGGAAACCGCAATCTTCCATCCAATCTTAATTGGAAAAGTTCAGGCTAACACAAAAGTCCTTCGTCATTTCTTCGTACATCGCATATTTAAGCTCCTTCAACCTCTTCCTCTTATCTAAACAGCTTACTCAACCGCTCCCTTTTGCTGGACAGGTCATGAACATAAGCGACTGATAGTAATTCACTCATTTCCATGACCTACGACTGCTAACCCTCAAACTGCTACATTTATGTGCCCTTTTTAATATTAGTCACTCCCTTACCCGCCTCGCACGTTCGAACCTCGCATCATTACGCCTCTGCCCTTAATTATTCAGCCGCTCCATTCTAGATGAATGTCTGAAACGAGCCACTAGTTCCATATCTTAAATACGAAAGGACATATCCCTCTACCACCCGACGACCTCAGAATAGGCTCTTCTTCATTTCGGCAACCATTCCACGGTATCGAGGTCAAACAGGCAGACGGATCGTTATCTTCGCAAGCGCGCGTGGATACAAACAGACCGGCCCTGCCTACTGCTTATTCAGAGCTACCTTCTCTAGGGGAAAGCCAATTTCACCCAGGTATTCCACTTGGGGAAGATCCATTCTAGCCACCTTGCCCCAACGGCTGGTCGAAAGATTAGGAGCGTTATAGAGCTCGGACGGTGGATAAATTCTTCATATAGGAACTATTTATGCCATAATAACCATCCACCGACTACAGCCATCCGCAACTGACAAGTTTTCGGTTCAGTTGCCTAATGGCAAAGGTCTGTTTTGTCATTTCCTACCCCCCCCCCCCCCCCCCACGTTGTTGGCTCCTCTGATGTTCCGCGCACAACTGACCAGTGCCCCTTGATTATGGGAAAGTTTTGCCTTAATGAACCTGACCTGGGTGTGGTCAATAAAGTCTGGTAGGAGGTTTACGCAGAATTCTTCTTCGTGGGCTTTCCTGCTTTTGTGTGAACGGGTATCCTTTAGCGATATAGACGGCCTGTCGGGAATAAGAACCACGAAACTACAAGTGCCACACGTCCGACGCAGGCTCGCCTTCCACTTCGGATTGTCTCGGATCCTCATTTCTTCCGCTATTTTCATTTACAAAACTATTTTCACAGCGTTCCGGTCGTAACATTACAGCTAATTTTTCTTTCTTCTGTTGATAAATGCGTTACCTTCCTAGAGCCTCAACTTAGGACCCTTAATGGACTTGATTATATCCTACACAAACCAAGACCTTCCCGAAGCTAAATTTTTTGATTGTTAAAAAATTCGAAAAGGAAAACCAAGTCTTCCAAAAATTCCAAAAAACAATTCAAAAAAAACCCTTTGAAATCTTCCGGTATATAACACCTTGGTCAGGCCTGAAAGAAGTTTCTTTCCCATACAGCAATCTTGATTTTTTGACAATGCTATACGGTTTTCGCATAGGAGAACAGAGGTAGGCCAGAATAATAGCGACCGCGTATGCGCGCGGTCGAACTCACGTTTTTCCTTAGCTTGGCTTTCCTTTTTCCTCTTCCGCATGATGTGACAAACCACAATGTCTTGTTCCTATTAGACCAAGTGCCATAGTTCACAAATTTAGTGAAACAGCCACGGTATGCCACCCTCAAATTTACCCCAGCAAGGGCTATGCATATAGCATCAGTTCAAGGTGACAAAGAAGCTCTTATGAATAGTGCTTGGAGGCTTTAGGATGTTACCAACAACCTAAGATGGGAAAATAGGATATTCGAAGGTTACATTTATCACGATATCAGACGCAGAAACCCATCTTCCTCAATGCGAATTTCGAATCGTCAATTTGAAAAAAATTGATGTGAAAGGCCATTTAGACAATCTTGAAATCTAATGTCTGTTATGGACAAAAGCCACTAGGGCAAATCATCCCAGTAGAACACTACACTACAAAGATGCAAAAAGGATTTTTTCAAGTTCATAGTCTTCTATGAATTATTAGATAGGAATCCCTCACCTAATTCAGCTGCAACCTGTACGATAAACCTGGAAGCAAGAGCAAATTAAAATCCAAGAAAGTCTGATTCTGTGAAGAGAGCACAACAAAAAACTCAGAATCATTTGACGCGTCTCACCTGCGTGCTACGGCGTGCGCCTTCCCTTCATCTGAAGGCCTGTAATTTATGCGATAGAGAGCAGATTTCAGACCCAACCTAGCTTTGCTTTACGATAATAGTCTTCAATACTTTCTTGATGCGATTTGATTTATTAGTGACATAGTGTTTTGGTTACCATAATTTTGGCCCACCCGTATACAGGGGTGGTCAGACAAAGACACTCTGCTTCACTTACAAGACCGACTCAGTAGCTCAGTCGCTACATTAAATCGGTTGATTCCGTCAGATACATGAAGCGCACAATTCAGTTCATTCGATGACTTTAAAATAGCCTTTTACACACAGAAAGTGATAACAGAAAAATCTGCCTCGGGCACCTGATGCAAGCGTTGAATTCAGCGGACGGACTTCGACGGACCATTACGACGTTTTCTGAAACGATGGTGGAAGGACCTTGCATAGTAGGAGGTGCGCTCTCTAGGAAGCTATCATATTGAAGAATTTATGTTGTAGCTTCATGCTTGAGCACATACGGCAGGCGTCCCTGGCCTCAGCGGCGACGGCACATGACAAATATTTTTAGTACGGTGAGGCTAAAGGAGGAGGACCTGCTGCTTATGAGGGGATATCTAAGAAATATTTTGTCGGAAGAGTTTCAGAAACACTGCATTTTGTGCGAGGTAAAGCTTACTCATGTAAGTCACAAGCAAAGTGCGTTTTTTGGCCACCCCAGTACACCTCTAGTCTCTTTAGTAACTGTCAGTTTAACATCTGTAGGCGAATTTTTTTAAACTGGGGTACAGGTACCATCGAATAGGTGTGAAAACGTAAACTAACTATTCCCCAGGCATGGCACACAGCCACACAGGCACCAAGCATACCGACTTGCCAAAAGATATCAACCGCGTGGCCTGTACCATGAAGCGATATCGCACATGCTTATCTCACAAGTTTTATCTGTTATCGAGATTCTCTTCCTTCTACTGTCAGCGTGAACGACTACGCATCAACAGCCGAAGTCGATTCCTGACTGTGCATTCTGGGGTTACGGGATCCTGTAATCCCATTTTTTTCTCGATACCGAGAAAAGCACACAGCGCACTGGTATCTCATGATGCTGCTCACATTACCAACGACTACAGTAACCAGTGAGAACCTCGTTCTTCAATTTTCGAGAAGATTTCTTACATCATTACCAAACATCTAAACGGGACAATACATTCCAATTTCCAACCCTTCGTCATACTGGTGTATTGGAGACGAAACGTAAACACGTGGCATGTGGGAACAAAAAGGACACAGCGTTGCTCCAGAGTCCTCAAACTTGCATCTTTGATGTCTGAGTTAGTTTTTTGAACTTATTAAACCAGCGTCGAAAGAAAAAAAGGCAACTTCCACTCTGCGTAACCGCATGGACTTGAGGACTTTCAACTGATTCCTTTCAAAATACCTTTCAACTTGCAACACAATTTCAGATTCTGCTGTTCCAATTGCTCGAGTGATGTATGAGCTACATTCTACTGTATTTCACGTGCACCAGCTGGGATGTCTTTCATTCATGGAATCTGTGTCCATAGCCTGACATCCCAAACATACGCTTGTCAACATTAAAGTCCGGAACTAAGTATAAAAACGGTAGGAGTGAAGCAAGTACATGTTCCATATCTTTTTTTTCAGTTCTCGTTCCTGTGATAATAGCGATTTTTCTAGCTCCAGACTATACAATGAGTGTTTTTGTGCTAGCTCTTCTTGTAACTGCGTGTGCGAGTGGTGAGCAGCAAGAATCTGACATGGTCAGCTCCAGAAATCCCACTGAAGAAAGATCTGCTCGTGCTGTAGGAGGTTCGGATATACAGTTCTTCTCCATGCTTTCTTTGAAAATGTTGAAACTTTTTCGAATAATAGCAAAGACCATTTCGAACAAGAAGAACGAGAAGTGTACATACAAGAGGAGGTTGTGTTATGGGAAAATCGTGAAGTTCCCTACAATTTGGACAAGAATTTAAGTCAGTTACTGCTTCAAAGTAGGCTAATCAGGAGAAAGGTGGATAATTCCACACTATGTTTAGGTAAAAGGGCCAAGTCCGCCTTCAGAAAGGCAGCGAATTTGTGGACGAACTTCACTTGCGTTAACATCACAGAACAACCATATGATGAAGGCAAAGAAGAAGGAAGAGGAAAATGATGGTGAAGACGACGTAGAACGAAAAGAGAATGATGATGAAGGCTACGAAGAACGAGAGGACTATGGTGATCAAGACTACTATGATTATCCTGATTATCACGAATATCCTGAATATCCTGATATCGAGGACGAGGATGGAGACGAAAATTCCTATGATGGAAATGAGGAGGACGTAGGTAAAGATCAGATGAAGTTGAAGGAGTAGTGAGGTCTCGTAATATGTTAGTGTTCCAGCTGATATGATTACGGTACGTGGTGGAGATGGATGTAGTTCATACGTCGGGAAAATCACCTTTCCTCAGGCACAATATGCCGCATACGATCACACTTGGCCGAAAGTGTGAAACGGTATCCCTTTGGATATGACTTTAAGTTGAAGAAATAACAGAACAATCTCTTGTGATGCCGGTTACATTTTTGATCGCTTCAGATCGGTACCGCTGCGCACGAGCTTGCTCATGCTCTTGGACTCATTCACACTCACGAAAGACCTGACCGTGACGACTATATCACAGTGAACGAGTCAAATATTGAAGTAAGCACTGTAGGATATCAAATCATGAAAGAAGCATCACTTTGACGTGAGATTATAGGAGAAGTACCAGAGCCAATTCAAAAAATCCAATATTAGCAATGCCAACTATACTACTACACCATACGACTATGGCAGTGTGATGCATTATGGGACCAAAGCGTGAGACTCTTTCGAATACACGTATAACGAAAGAAAACAAAGTCTACACTCTAGCGGTTCCGAAAACAGAACAAAACCTACTATGGTGCCTAAAGATGGTTTGTACACTCAGACTCTGGGTTCTCTTCTCCTCTCTTTTTATGATTTGCTTGCGATGAACAGGCTCTACAATTGCACTGGCAAGTTACACTTTGGGCAGGATTCAATCGCAAGTTGTTCAATAGCCAAATTGCTTTAGACAGATGCGAAAACCATACTTCCATACAATGTCAAAATCGTGGATTCCCTCATCCACGTGATTGCTCTAAGTGCATCTGTCCCAGCGGCTATGGTGGAGATTTCTGCGACAAAAGGGTGAGCGATTTTCTGCAGTTCAAGCATACGAATTTCTCTAAGGAATCAATTCAGCCAGAAATCTGCGGTAAAGAAGTGAATGCGACCAGCAACTGGACACTGCTCGTCACTGCCAATTCTTCGGCTATGACATACGGCAGCCAGGATGGGTTCAAAAAATGTGTGTATTGGATTAATGTGCGTAGTTTCCGGGAATAGTATTTTTAGGATCAACGAAGCTGCCCGGCAAAAATCATTTTCAGGCACCAAACGGTTCACATGTAGAAGTAAGACTCACGAAGCTTCCAGCGAACGTTGACAAAGGAAGGATGTATAAAAGGTGGTGTTGAGATCAAAGCGCAGGAGGACCAAGGCCTCACCGGTTACAGGTAGGAAAGATAAACAATCAAACATAATAATTATTCGGGGCCTCTTTTAGGTTCTGCTCAGAGAAGGACGTCAACCTTACGCTCATATCGAATACGAGCACTCTTCCCGTGTTAACGTTTATGCGTCGACGACGGAACGACACTGCCATAGAACTAGAATACCGCATCGCGAACGAAACGAAGTAAGAAGTGAAGTAGAAAACTCGAAAACTGGAATATTTGACATTCTGGATTCCAGCTCCGTGATAAATTTTCGAGCATTTTTTTGAAACAACATGAAAGAAGTATTTTCAACAGGCTAGTCGAAGAGCTGCTTCGTGCAAGTTTATACATTTCCAGAACTCATTTACACAGGTGTTAAGCAGATCCAACACTCTCCTCTTCTTAAGAAGTCAGCAGAATGCAGGCAAATGAAAAAATGTAGAAGATCGGCCCTTTGGTGAGTGGACCGTTATCGCTTTTTCCAGCCTCCATATGCTTAATCCACGAATGTTACTCTGGAACTTTTCAATTCTCGATTTCTCCGAGATACGCCTGCTGTGGGCAGTGGTTCATAGAGATTCAGGACGGTAGTAAAGTCCCCTAAACAGCCAGTCTATAGTTGGCCAATAGGTCGCGTTGACGTCGCCTTCGTCCGCACCTAAAAAGCATTGGGAAAGGCGGGAAACTCGCGCTGACCTGCCGCAATGGGCGAGGTCTAGGCAACATCTTAAGTGGCCAATGTATAAGGTGGCCTTTGCCTAGACGGCGAACCTGGCAGAGAAAGGAGAAAGTGCATGGAGATTGCAGAGACGCAGAGGGTCATGTAGAGGGCGACTAAAATGTATCCCTGCGTACATTTTAGTCGCCGTCTACATGCTCCTAGCACGAGTCAAATTACTCTTCAATCCCCATGCACTTCCCCTTTCTCTGCACGTCATGCATTGGTCGCATTGAGCGTCTCTTCGTCCCTGCAGCGCAAAGCGCATGTCGAACACACTCGACAAGATGCAATAAATTCAACAGCCCCCTCCCTCCCCTCTCTTCTCTCGCTTTTAATACTACAATAGAATAGACATGCAATCCCAACCGCCCTTATGGAGCAACAGTATTTTGGTGCACATTTTACTTAAGCCAGAGTAGTAACGGCACAAAATTCATTTAAGTGCTTCCAAGGTGGCGTCAAATTAGAATAAATAAAGAAGGAAGAGGAGCGACTTTTCTAATCACACAATTCATTGGGCGAATATGGTCAAGAAAAGGTCGCTTTCTTTTCTCGATCTTCTGCGCAAACGTAATCGAAACTTTCTTAAATCGAGTGGTATTTCCACTTGCAAAATCAACAGCACATTTTGACCACAAAATTCATAGCGTTCTGCACGAGCGATACCGTAAGTTCCTTCAATGCGAGCATGACGCGTTGTAAGCCTCCTTGAGCGCGTCTGCGAGACCATGAAGGTTTGACAAGTGCTTGCTTCTGTTTATCAAGAATATCTAAATATTATTTTACGTTGGATTATCCGCCTGTCCCCCCTTTTCGCGCGACATTGAACCATTAAAGGATGGATTCACGCTGGAAAGGCAACCCATTTCAAATTAAGTTAGCGATGGTGAGTGGTACACTAAAGAAGGAAAAACCATGAGAAACGGCCCAGAACCTGAGAAATGGGACCCTTCCTTGCCCGTTGATTTGAGCATTGATGCGACTATCATCGCTGTGCCCTCTTCAACACTACGCTCTCTCACCTATCTAATCACTCGCCACGTATAGACCTGCGGCGAGTGATCAGATGATCGGTGGGCGTGCACTGGCCCACCGCGCCAAGATTGAGCCTTAATAGGTCGCCGAGATCATCGGTCCAATCTGCAACCTCAGTCCCCACCTTAGGAGGTCCGTTTGCCCTCAACTAGGTGAATTACTCCTTCTTTGATCTTCATTCTAATCGTTCTTTAGGTCCTTGAGGACCATGAAAAGAATATTATTTTCGGCCAGAGCTGTGTATCCTTCTATTTTATAAAGCGCTAACTTTGTGTGTCGGTTTGTGTATCTGTATGTGTGGTGTGGTGTGTATGTATGTATGTGTCCGTCCGCAAAATGAAGTGAGTGAGAAGGAAGCTCATGGGATAAACAAACCGCTAACAAATCGGGTAGCTTACAGGATTTGAGATATCAATGTTTTGTAGCAGGATAGTTGTGATAACACTCTTAGGGCTATATAAACACCTGCTTAGCACACTTCCGTTCATTCCACATGGTGCTGCAGTGGCAGCTGGAGGGCAGTGGAGAGAGGAAGGGAGGATGAGGAAGGGAAGCGAAAAATCTACCGTCATATCATGATTGTGTCCCTTCTACTGTTTGAAACACCATTGTGTTGCATACGCGTCACTTCCACGAGGGTGTGGTGTCACAGGAGGAAGAGACCATAGCGGAGAATAGAAAGCTTGCGCAGGAAAGGAAGGTCCCGGCGGTTGACGGGGGACTAATCTCGGTTATTGAAAATGCAGAAGCATGTCTTTCTAAATTCTATTTTGGGTCGAATGAACTGGTCGTATGAGCTATCATCATGGAACTAGTATCGAGTAAACGCAATGGCGTTATTTGTGCGATAGCTGGCTGCAACAACGTTTAATCATTTATGTTTGAAGGAGATCTTCGAAATTTCTGTTATAGCTTCGTAGCCACTGGTCATACAGTCTACTTGAGTTTTCGGGAATGTTTCGGAACGAAATGTTCTCATCTGTTTCGGCATTGTTTCAGCGTCCCGTTCCGTTAGAAGTATGAGCTTCTACAGTACGTTCCTTTTGTGTAACATTTCAGCGCTCCGAGTTCCAAAATTCAAACAGGGCTCTACGGTCATACTTGAACTTGAGTAAGCGGATAGGAATCACATTTTGGAGTTACTCTTATTTCTGGAAATCCTTTTATTCATCAAAATTTTCATACCGCGAGATTGTTACTTGATGGGTGCTGTGATTTTTAAAGAAGTGCAGTGAATTGATGAATGCTCCCGCGATTTGTCATTGCATATTAACTTCCAGAACGGTGACAATCCGGAAGGCTTCACTCGCACAATAGCCTCTTACTGTTGTGTTCAGACCTCGTATTCCGGACATAGTGGGCGAACTGGATACGATACCCTCCGGTGCAGTGCCACATTCAAAAGCGCACCTTCGTCGCACCGCTGACCATCCCCACCGACATGCTCTCTAATTTGTGAAGCGGTTGGCTTCAAAGGAAGCCTTGGAGGAAGCGAGAAACTTGACACTATTTTCAATGAAGTGGTATTATTTCATGAAACGCTTAGCAGATCAACTGAGGAACGCGCAGAGTCCTACTATATAGAATTCATTAACACATTGCAGCACGCGTGCATCGCCGGGTATGCACGTCGAAACTCCCACATCTGACATTTGTGCATCGCCCGGTATGCACATTGATTTTGAGCTCCCCTTATATATTTTTCATTACATCTGTGACTATAGGTTCTACTATTCTACTATACTATTACTATAAGTTCCACTAGTAGTGTCTTGAATTCACTAAACACATGGCTGCTCTCCATCCTCAATTTCAAGATACTTTGGAACTTCAATTTGCACAATCAGTGCCTCAGTTTGAACCCTCATAAATTGTTTAACAATAAACTCCAATGGCTACTAATTACTGAATATATTTTCTGATGAGAAGCCGAGCAAAAAATAGTAAGAAGCGAAAGAAAAAACGAGAAAAAGTAGAACAAAGAAAGGACAAAAGCAATACGTTGCCAGCCAATGGGGAGGTTGCAGTTGAGATTGTGTGGGTCCTGTGGCGAAATACATGGGTCTTGTAGCGAGATATATGGGTCCTGTAGAGAAATTCCACAAAATGTCCCGAATGTGAGATTTGTGCATCGCCGGGTATGCACGCAGGTAATGCAGCTATGTCACATGTGTGACATGCGCCGAAATCAGTGCGGGCATCAATGTGTTAGTATGTCTGCCTGTGTGTGCGTGTGTCCGTCCGTTTGTCACGAAATTCATAGCGCGCTTCGCTGCAGTCATGGAGCGCTGTATTTTGAGTATGATGTAGGGGGTGGGACGGGAACATATTTGGTGGGGGTCAGAAAGTGATAACGACTGATAAGAGCTGATAAGAGGCGCTGAAAAATTTCACGAAATTCATAGCGCGCGTCCCAGCAGCAGTGAGGCGTTGGTTCCAAGAAGTGATGTGGAGGGTGGGACGGGAACATGTTTGGTGGGGGACAGAAAGTGATAAGGACTGATAAAGACGATATGCGTAAGAACATAAGGATCGATTGAAACC